TTTTAATGGTCTTTTGAACCAGCGAGTAACATAAACCACTGAGACCCTAATTAGGAAAGACTCATTCTAAATTTGCTTATCAGCAAAAAATGAAAATAGATTTGTATCTAACACAAAGAAGACATGTCATTTGTATACTTGGAAGTCCACATTAAACATTATAAAGCTGTATATATTTTGATTGTTTGATCTGTTTTAATTACTGTAAAGCACTTTGGTCAGCTCTGGTTGTTGTAGGTGCTATATAAATAAACATTGATTGATTGATTGATTGATTGATTGATTGATTGATTAATTGATTGATAAAGCTGTTAAATGTGATTATGTTTATGTTTATGCATTTGGCAGACGCTTTTATCCAAAGCGACTTACAGAGTAAGTGATTAAATTAAATTATAACATAAGTAGTATCAAATCAGTTTTCAATCATTGTAGTTCAAAACATGTTAAATGTCCTTTTAATGACAGTTACTTATTTACAGAACAGACAAAAAATACATGAATAAAGAGCTAAGAAAAAAAGTTACCAGTCATTATTAATAAACCAATCCATGCCCATTACACACATTTAAAAAGCACCTTAAACAGTTTCTCAAAAGTTCCCAGACATGCACTCACTAATTTTAATTTTGTAATGTCATTGTCTGAAAGTGTGTCTCTCTGTTTTAACTGATTTTGTATTTTGTGATGTTGTGTTGTTTGGTCTTCCTGCCTCAGGACGACAGATGTAAACTAGCAACTATGCTAGAATCTGGCTCATTTACAATCTGTATGAGATTGTTCATTAATGTGCACTGTCCTGACTAAATAAATAAATAAATAAAGTACTCACCTTAGGCCGGAAGAGCTCCATGACAGATATTTTTCCGTACATGCCGACCTCCTTGACGGGCCTCAGCCCCTCCGCTGTGACCACATAGATCTCCAGACGTGTGTTTTTGGCTATGAGCAGGTTTAGGTCCTCAGCAGACGTGAAGTGACCTGAAGACAAGGTGGCATTTAGAACATGTTAGGAATTCGTTTTTTAATTGTTTTATGAGGAGTCAGTGAGGGTTTTGTTTAGTTCAGACATCAACGGGCAAGTATCACCTGTAATTTCTGCATTTAATTAGTCAAACAGTAAACCGGATTTGATCACAGAAAATAATTTGTGCTTAAGGGTAACCTGACATGTACCTAAGGTGTATAAAGTATTGTGATTCTAATGTTTTATGAGTATTATTGCACTTTCATTTACATTTTAACATTCTACAAAATTCCCCAAATATTATGCATATCCTTGACATTTATTATAGTCTAATGGGTTCTTACAAAATGATGAGTTATTACAAAAATCACTTGATTCACCACCACAATGGTTACATTGCTTGCAATGACAAATATTCAAGAGAAAAGGAATAAAAACGTCGTTTGTATGGTTTTGAAATGATGGAATGCATTAGTCCATCAATATGATAAAGTAAAACTAAGGTTATGTAACTAAAATCAGTGAGGAATTCACATATAATCACGGACTCTTGATATGTTTCTTTAATTAAAGCAATATCCACAAGGACATTTGGATTATTTTTAAATTACTTAAAATTTAAATTACAATGCAATGCACGTGCAATTTTGTCATTTAGAGACAACACATTTTAATCAGGCTTATAATATTGCAATGGTGTCTGATGTTTATCAGCAGAGGGAACCGCATTTTGTTGTAGTTATTTAATAACCAAAACAACTATCGTTACGTTAACAAAAATAGCCTGTTTCCCGCCAAATTAATCTAATCTATGCTGGAACTTCTATATAAAAATCGAGCCACTAATTCCATGCACACAACTATGTCTGGTCTCTCAGGTAAACATTAGACTTAGCAACACAACAGCTAGCTAGGCCCGAGTGGAGCACTTTGGTTGTGGCGCGGGAGCTAGGCTAACGCGCAGGTGGCTAACCTTAAATTACCACAAAAATGGAGCAACGGGCGGGTTTTTACCTGTTACGCATGCGTTCACCGCCGTGGGCTTCTGCGCCGTGACCACGTAGTTGTACGACATTTCAACAGCAACAAAAGACAAGCACCAGAGAAGGGTTTTAATCGCGCACAACTGACAAAATCATTAATATGCGACTACCGGAAGTACTTAGCCTAGCCGTTTAGAGTGGGTAAAAGCTCCGCTTCCGGGTTGGGGCGCCCCCGTGTGGTCCGGAGTGGACATTACATTGGCAGTTTTTTACCTTTTTTTTTTGCCTTTTTTGGGAGGGTTAAGGATTTAGAAAAAACTTTTAACTCTGTCAGTTTGATTGAGTTTAGCATGAAATGTTAAACATATCAATCTAAATTAGTTTTTGTCAAATATGGTCATAAAAAACGTTTGTATATGTTTATTTATATTTTGTGGGAATGTTGTTTATATACAGTACAGACCAAAAGTTTGGAAACACACTCATTCAAAGAGTTGTCTTTATTTTTATGACTATGAAGATTGTAGATTTACACTGAAGGCATCAAAACTATAAATGAACACATGTGGAATTATATACTTAACAAAAAAGTGTGAAAACGCTGAAAAAATGTCTTATATCCTAGGTTCTTCAAAGTAGACACCTTATGCTCTGATTACTGCTTTGCACACACTCGGCATTTTCTTGATGTTTTTCAAGAGTATATCAAGTATATAATTCCACATGTGGTAATACAATGTGGTAACTACAATTTTCATATACATATATATATGTGTGTGTATATGTATATGCTGTTTCATTTCTGGAGTTGGAAGCGGAAATAATTTCTCTCTGGGATTATTAAAGTATTTCTGATTCTGATTCTGATTATGATAAAAGTATAACGTTTGATATTTTTCTCTTAGCGTGGGATGTTGGCAGATTGTTACTAAGAGAAAGAACTCAATCAACAAATAGTCTCCAAACATTGTAAACAATTGGTTAAACACTCGAAAAACTCAGTATGCAGCAAAACTAGAAACCCAGTGATGGTGCGTTTAGTAATATCTGCAAATGTCGTAAGCGCTTTCAGGACTTTCTTAAATTATCATCTTAACTGATCATCTTCCATCACTTTGTAGTGAAATTGGATTACACGTGATTTTATTCTTCTGGGGCATTATTCTTATGAGTGAATGTATCTAGTATGCTTTAAAAAAGAAAGCAGAGAGGCACGCTTGACATATTTCCGATTGTAAGTGAACATACCACCCAGGGAGGCCGTTGCTATGGAAACAAGCCGCAAGCCTTTCACACGTTACCTGAACTGAACTAAAATAGTAATTTAGCTAACTTTCTAAGAGCATATAACTTTGCAATGGAGGTATTTGAAAATACAACAGAGTCAGAAACTAATTTGACCATAGAAATTACAGTAAACTCCGCATATAACCTGGTAAGTTGTTGGGACTTTAGGCATAAATGCTAAATTAGCTAACGTTTTTCTCAAATAGCTGTTAAAACAGGAAAAATAAGTGTACATATATGATATTTGATAGCCTGGAGGTTAACGTAAACCAACACTAAGACAGATGGACAGGTATGATTAAGCAGCAGTTTTTTATATAAAACAGCTACAGCTACTTTGTTTTAAAGTTTTTTTTTAATTTTTTATAAATAAATTCCCATGAGACTGTGCAGTGTGCGTCTTTAGGCAATTGTGCAATTACTTTGCGCCAAAAGGTCAGTTAAAAAAAATACTTTAGGTCTTTCAGTAGATCATTGAAATTCTAATTAATTTAAACCAATTCAAAATTGAATCATAAAATATTTTGTAACTCAAAAAAAGCTCTCCCATCTATACCAAAGTGAGGCAGCACAGTGAGATTTGTCCATGTCTCATACACCTTAATAGATGCATAATAGATTCAAAAGAAATATTCTGTTTGTCATTGGTGACCGATATTATATTATATTACCAATATTAACTTACCACTATACCACTATAGTTCTTGAAAATGAACTGTAGTTGAGAAGGTTTTTGGATGATTTGACACTAATGCAAACCATGCTTTTCCTCTTCTCAGCAAGGAAAGAAGGGAGACCATATGCAGAGTTTTGTGGCGGTGGCGGTGGATGGAGCATCCCTGGGAGAGTCAGAAAAGATGCAGCTCAACCCGCTGGAGCAGAGAGTCGACTACAACTTTACCTGCAACTTCCATCCAACTAACAACGTCCAGGCTCTAAGTGACATCGCCCAAAAACCAATCATAGGTGAGCTGATTATTTATTTATTTATTTATGTATTTATTTATTTATTTATTTATTTATTTATTTATTTATTTATTTATTTATGTATTTA